TTGACATCTGTCTCTCTCCCAATTTCACAGCACCTTCCTACAGAATCAATGCCTCTTTTCAAATTTACAATCCCTGACAGGGGCAGATGACTCAGTAAGCAAGGTAAGCAAGGGCTTACTTGTGCTTACTTACCAATCTGTAGTGAACAATTTCACTTTGATTAGGTGTAGTGAAACCTACGTGAAATTGTTCACTACAGATTAGTGAGTAAGCACAAGTAAGCTCATGCTTACCTTGTTTATTAGATAATCTGCCCCTGAACATCAATTGGAGCCCTGGTGGTGTAGTGGTTGAGACCTCGGCTGCTAACCAAAAGTTTGGCAGTTGGAATTCACCAGCCACTCCTACAGGGTTGCTATGAGTCTGAATTGACTTCACCGCAACTGGTGTTCTGAACATTAGTCATGACGGGAAACTTCTCGTCTACTTGAAAGATAGGCCTTAAAAAACACAGTTAAGTTATTGGTTAATGAGTACTGAGTTTCTGTTTGGGGTGATGAAAAAGTTTTGGAAATAGTGGTGATGGTTGTACAACATTGTGAATGTAATTAACATCACTGAATTGTACACTTAAAAATGGTTAAAAGGGTGAATTTTATGTTATATATGTTTTACCAGAGTAAAATTTTTAAAAACAAAAAAAACCACACACACACACATATAGTTCACTGCAAGCCATAGAAACTCTGAAGTCTCTTTTCAGTTAGGGCATAAGCTCACCCTTTATAAAAATTGTACCTTTCTAGAATTATTACAAATGTGCTAACAAATAGGGGGAAAATGACTGGTTTTGCTTTTTCTTTTTCATATATAAAAAGCCCATCCTCCCGTGGCAGCACCGTTGAATAGCTTCGATTACCCTCACCACATCACACCACCCCCCCATCACACACACTGACCAGGAAGGCAAAAGGATAAGGGGTGGGGACAGGATAACTTACAGCATCTGTTTTATAGTAAATTGATTTTAACATCTTTAATCCGAGGAATTCAAAATTCCACCCATTTGTTGTCTCAGCTCATTCTCATATCAACTGTATGAGATAAAAGAAGGAAGGTAATAATATTCCCTTTTATAAAGCTGAAACCAGAAATGCATAGATATTAAGAAGCATGTGCCCATCCGGTACTGGAGACCACTGTTTTGTAAAGGTCCTATGGTAATATTCTGGCATAAAAGCCACATTTAGAACCCAGAACTTTTCCTCAAAGTCCAAACATTTGTTTTAGTTACAGATATTTTTGACTGGAAAGTATATCCAAAAGAAGCTTTGGTTTTAATAATTGACACAAAGCAACTATTTGTTTTGAAATTTTCTTTTTAAAAAGATTTTCGTAGGAAAAGCAAGGGCATGGGGTAGGGGAGGCAGGGTGAGATTGAAGGTTAGGATTATAAAGATAGGGTGAAGAAATTTTGTGGGGTGATGGATATGTTCTTTATCTTGATTATAGTTACGGTTTCAAGAGTGTATATGTATGTCAAAGCTCATCAAATTGTATACATTTTGATGCAGTTGATCGTATGTCAATTATATCTCAATAAAGCTTTAAAAAAAGAAAACCAAAAAATATATAAGGGCACAGATCCAATATACATAAACAGAAGACAATTTGAATGAGCTGACTGGCAGGAAGTAGTTTAAATTGTTCACGGAGTTGTATTCTGTTGTTTAGGTAACAGGTCAGCCAGTCCTAGATGTTAACTAGTTGACTACACATGGAGAGTTAGGGGAGTAGGAAGGCTTTTTACACGCCCATTTCAAGAGAAACCAAAACTGCATGTAACTATTAGATTTACAACTATGATAAATTAAGAAGCAACAATTCACTCTTTAGAGGATTTTCTATGGATTTCTTTTATCATGAGAGCTCCCATAATGTATTTTAAGCATAGTGCCATTTACAGAAATTCATTTTAATCCAACATATCAAGAAAGCATCTAACTTTAATAAAACAAGCTAGAGTATGAATTCAATTTAGACCAATTTAGACCAAATTGTAATACGTTCTTTGAAGAGATAGCAATATCCTAAGTAGAAAGAAAAAAAAAAATCCACCACCGGTCTGTTAGTTTGTCACACTGCGGTGGCTTGCATGTTGCTATGACGCTGAAAGTGGTCCACTGGCATTTCAAATACCAGCAGGATCACCCGTGGTGACTGGTTTCAGCAGAGCTTCCAGGCTAAGATAGACTAGGAAGAAAGGCTCGGTGATCTACTTCTGCCAATTAGCCAAGGAAAACATAACAGAATATTGTCCAATATAGTGCTGGAAGGTGAGTCCCTAGGTTGAAAACACTACACCATAGCTGCAACAAGGGACCCAAACACACCAGCGTTATGAAGATGACACAGAACCAGACAACATTTCGTTCTGTTATACATCAGGTTGCCGTGCTGAAGTTGACCGGACAACAACTAACAACAAGTACAAAAATGAAATCACAATCTCTTAGTGAAGATAAAACTAACGCAAGTATGCAAACATATGTCAGAAACATTTAAGCATAAAGCAAATATTGAATGTTAATCAACCCTGGGGTAGGGGAATTAAATAATTTCAAAGGATTTTGTAACCTGCGACAATAGCGGATAAAATGACCGATTGTTTACATGCCCAGTGAATGGGGAAAAGATACCAGTTCTGACTAGCCAACCACCATCACCGCCACCTCTAATTAATCTCCTTGCTATAGTTCCCCTCCTTTCCTCACTCCTTAGTCATGCTAAGCTTTCTCCTACACTTTCCATATCTACCTCGCAGCAATTAGATTCCAAAACAAAGCTCCAAGAGAAAGGGCATATTGGAAACTCTAAGATTAATAGCAGAACTAAGGAACAGAAATCTTCAAAATAGTGTTTTATGCACATTTATCTTTGTCATTGCAAATTATAAAAACATAAAGATACAGAAAGATTAAGCAATCTTCAAAATCTTTTTATTTTGAAATATTTGCAAGATTATACGAGGGACTCTTGTATGCGCTTCATTCAGAGTCACCAAGTGGTAACACTTCATCATATTTGCTTTATCATTCTCCACCTGTCTTTTTGAACCATTTGAGAGTAAATTGAGCCATCATGTCTCTTGCTCCGCAATACTTTGATGCATATTTCCTAAGAACAAGGACATTCTCTTACAATTATCCAAAACAATAAATGAAACATGATTACAATATTACTACATAACATATAGCAACATCAAGATAAATGGAGAAAATATTGAAGTTGTCAAGGATTTCATTTTACTTGGATCCACAATCAATGCCCATGGAAGCAGCAGTCAAGATATCAAACAACATATTGCACTGGGCAAATCTGCTGCAAAAGACCTCTTTAAAGTGTTGTAAAGCAAAGATGTCACTTTGAGGACTAAGGTGTGCCTGACCCAAGCCAAAACTGGACAATGAATAAGGAAGACCAAGGAAGAATTGATGCCTTTGAATTATTGTGATGGCGAAGAATATTGAATATACCATGGACTGCCAGAAGAACAAACAAATCTGGCTTGGAAGAAGTATAGCCAGAGCGCTCCTTAGAAGTGAAGATGGCAAGACTTTGCTTCACATACTTTGGATGTGTTATCAGGAGGGAAGAGTCCCTGGAGAAGAACATCATGCTTGGTAAAGTAGAGGATCAGCGAAGAGAGGAAGAATCTCAATGAGATGGATTGACAAAGTGGCTACAACTATGGACTCAAGCATAACAAAGATTATAAGGATGGTGCAGACCAGGCAGTGTTTCCTTCTGTTGTACATAGCGTCGCTATGAGTCGGAACCAACTCAATGGCACCTAATAACAACAATATAACATCTATTCCATATTCAAATTTTGTCAATTGTCCCAATAATGTCCTTTACAGCTATTTTCCTCCTAATCTAGAACCCAACCTAGGGTTATCCATGAATTTAGTTGTCATGTCTCTTTGGCCTTCTTTGATCTGGCACAATTTTTTAGTCTATCTTTCATAACACTAACATTTTTGAAGCATTTAGGCCAGTTAATTAAATTTGTCTACCTCAAATACAGGTTATGCATTTTTTGCTGGAATATTACATAATGTTGTGTCCGTTTCAGGGTATGATATTGGAAGGCATGTGATGTGGTTCTCTCATAATTTGTATTGGTAACTTTGATCACTTGGTTACGGTGGCATCTACCAAATTTCTCTATTTTAAACATATTGCTTTCCTCTTTGTAATTCATATGTAAATTGTGGGGAAGTTATTTTGATACTATGTAAATACCATGTTCCTCATTGCATCTGTTTACCTTCTTGCTTTAGCATCTTTTGATGATTCTTACCTAAATCAAGTATTTTCTTAGTGAGATAATTCTCATGCAATAAAATTCACTATTTTAAAGTATATAACGCAATGGTTTTTAGTATATTCACAAAGTGGAGCAACCATCACCACTACCTAATTGCTCTCCATCCCCCACCCCCACCCCCACCCCCTATCAATCACTAATCTACTTTCTGTCTCTATGGATTCACCTATTCTCGGCATTTCATAGAAATGGAATCATGCAACATGTAGCCTTTTTTTTTTCCGGCCTTTTCAAGGTTCATTTGTCTTGTTGCATGTATCAGTACGCCATTTCTTTTTATTTTCCTAAATCAATTACTACTATGGTTGTTGGAAAATGATGGTTTTCTAACTCCATCGCTCCTTTTACACTTAATAGCAACATTATTTTTATCATCCTTTGTCAGGAAACTCTTCAAGAAAACTGCACGCCTGGAGTTAATTTTAATAGACAGGTTTCTCTTGCCCTCAAGTAGGTCCCAATCTTAGATAAAAAGGCCTAAAAAGACCATCTTTCCAGGACTTCGCGTTATCTTCCCTTACCTTTACTTGAACAAACAGCAGTTTGTCTGTCTCTCCTCCTGTCACCTCAGAGGCTCCTCCCCCTCCTCCAGGTGTCTCCTCCCAGGCAGCTGCAAGAGCAGGAGGAGGAAGTGACGCACAGGAAGTGTCCCTGTTCCCCTTGCAGTGGGGGGAAGGAATCAAACCCCGAAGATGGCGGCGGCGTCGGAGGAGCGGATGGCTGAGGAAGGAGGCGGCGGCCACGGCGACGGCGGCTCCTCTTCGGCCGCCGGCTCTGCTCAGCGACAGCCCCCACCGCCCCCACCGCAGCCCTCGCAGCCGGGGTCCCAGGCGCCCCCGGGCCCAGCGCTTGCTGCGGACCAGCTGCCTCAAAACAACACGCTGGTGGCGCTGCCCATCGTAGCCATCGAGAACATCCTCAGCTTTATGTCCTACGACGAAATTAGCCAGCTCCGCCTGGTGAGGTTCCCCCACCCCTGCGGGACCCCCGCCGCCCTTTCCCCTGGCCGAGGTCTGGGGAGGGGAGGAGAGGGGAGCCCGTTCCCGGGGAGGGAGCCCCCCGCGAAGCCCAGCCGACGCCAGAGCGGGAGCGCGCCCCTCCCACCCCAAAGTCGCCCTCCGCGTCCGTCAGTGGGAGTGGGCTTCATCCTGAGGCCGCCCTTCCTCTGGGGGAACTTTGCTTTGGGTCGGGGGAGGCTCCCTGCCCCCTGCCCGGAAGCGGGGCCGCGGGCTGGGAGGTAGCGGGAGTTGGGATCATCACCTTCCGCGCAGCCGGACGGTGGAAACCCAAGGGGTCTTCTCGCCTCCCAAGGGGTCTCCTCGCCTGTCTTTTGTATCCCACCCTCCAGCTCCCGGCCGGGGTTGGGGGAGAAAACTCAAAAGTAGGGAAACTAGCCCAGCCAAGCTTGGTTTGTATTGCAAGAATAACGTATTCATTGTTCCCCCAACTACCCAAGTTTCCTTGTTGGAGAAGGTAGAGTAGGATTGGCCGGTTCTTCCAAAACCCAGGTAGAGGGATGGAGGTATTTGAACGCATTGGCGTTAGCCTTCAACCCAGCGCTCTAGTTGACCAATAAAGTAGAGCCCTTAGCGCCCTGGGAAATGATCGTTCCGGCTTTGCCTCCCCCTGACGCTTTCGTCCGTAGTGAAGCAACTTGCCCTTTGACAGGTTTTTCCCTCTCTCTCTAGAATTCATTTTCTAACTAGTGATTTACGTACACCCTCTAGCTTTAGGAGAGGTTTTATACGTTAAAATCATGGTAGTTCAGTCCATAATTTTTATAAATAATGAATTTGCCGTTGGGAATTTACTTCACTCCAGAGGTTTGACTGCAGGTTTGATAAATGTGTTAGTTCAGATATTTTGCTTCTTTTCAGTGACTTTATCTTTAAGTGGCTGAGGAGATTGAAGGAGGTGGACATCTTGAAGTGATTGCAAACCGATTCTGTGGTCGGGATTGTTTTTAAGAGGACAAAGACATATATCTGAGTGTGCTGTGTACCGTATTTTAGGCTTATACCTCCAATTTAAAATTGATTTTAATTGCGTTTTTGAAAGGAAATCATGCTTATTTTTAAAATAAAGCTTATAAATATTAATTCAGACTGATGGCCAGTTTTTCCTAGTCAACACAGCAGTTCAACCATGCCAGTCTGCAGGATGTAAATTCTTCCACTGGGAAGTGATATTTCAAAATTGATTGTCCCTGAATTTCCACAACATTTCATTCTAGAATTTCATGGAGAATTTTAAATATTCCTTCCAGTTTTTCCAAAGAATGGTCTTTCATCAAGATTCATGCTCTACATTCGTGGTGTCTGGAAATTGGGCATAACTTTTGATTGAATTGAGCCATTCAGCCAGACAATGGCTTTGTAAAGCTTGGAATGTTCACAGTTTTGTTTTAAAACTGTGGTTTCTTGTTTGGTAGCCATTTTACTTCTAAAAATTAATAACATTTTTAAAGGGCTGAATACCAGCCTACCCTAGGGGACAGTTAAAAACACATCCCATAATTTATTAATAAATGACATCTCTTTCAAGTGAAATATTCAGCTGTATTCTTAATTTTCAAGCAATCCTCTGTCTTGCCTTTTAAGGGTACAAGTTTGTAATTTCAAACGAAGATTTTTCATAAGGAGTCCCTTACCACACCCCTCAGGAAAAAAATTCTACAGCCTGTTTTATGTCTGCAAAAGATGGTTTTTCATCTGCTTTAGTAATTAAGAACTATTCTCTTATTCCTTTTTTTTTTTTCCTTAAGGTTAATAGGTAGTTCTTAAATAGTTTAATTTATCTTTTGTGGGAATTTGGAAATGTCTTTGGTTTTAGATTCATTGATTTGATGCCAGAAGGTACAATTCAGGTAACATTCAAAGGAAGATGTTCTTTCTTACCACTAGATGTCAGCATTAATTTAATAATAATCTTTTTATGAAATCGGCAGTCTAGAGACAGTGTAGATGTAGATGTAGATGCCTTTCCAATTTAAGTGGCCATTTATATCTAAAGAATTGTTTTCCAAAAAGAAACAAGGAACTTTGGTGTAAAAATTTCTTTCTTTTATTAGAAAACTTCTTTTTGAGTGAAATTAAGGCTTGGTATACTTGGAAGGGAGTGATATTAACTAAGAACAAAGTTAATTTTCATAAAAAATATCAGTTATTTGTTGGCTGGTGAGCTAGTTTATGCATTGTTTGGGCTTTTTTTTTTTTCTTCCCAGTTTACTTGATTAGGACCTCAATCTTAACTATTGTTAGCTCCTAAACTAGAAGTACCCAAATGCATGTACTTATTACTATCTTCTTTAAAAGATTTGCTTTTAATTGATAAGTGGGATTTTTGAATTATTTGTCAGTTTAATTGATTATCATCATTTAGTTTTTGCTTGCTATTACCATGAATAATTGAAATTTGACTTTTAAGTCCAGTAATTTCCAAGGGACTCTGAATTCCCTGTGACACTGTTTTTTTCCCTGTCATTGACCATGGCTCAAAAAATGTACCCAGAGCCTGGAAATCCTGGTTACACAGAAATAGTTCCTTAAATAATTAACTCCCCCAGTGTATTTAAAATTAATTGGCTGAGCATAACTTTTGAAATGACAAAACACGTACTTTGAGTTGTTTTTCCAGCAAAACTGACATTTATGCTGATGCAGCACTAGTACCTCACCTAGGCCCCCTCGCAGGTATGTGAGAAACTGTGACAAGTGGCAAAGGTTAGGAAGTGAGGCCCTACCGTAGTTATGGGGCACATCAAAGCTGACTTTGAACCTGCAGCTTCGGTTCTTGAGCACAATGCTCTCACCCACTGAAAAATAGTTTGGAAGGCTTTTTAAAAGATATTTTAGAGAGAGCCTCCCAAATTGTTTTCCTTTGTGATTCATGTGGAGCTCCTGTTATTAATTTCATGGAATCCCTATTAGTGGTTCAGGATATGAATTTGACCAAAAGTACATTCGGAATTCTTGCTTATTACCTGGAAAGAAATTTATACTTTCTTTCACATCTTTTCTTGAAATATGTTAGAAAATCTCAGTTATAGAGAGGATTGATTGATAGGAAATATGAAGGAAGTTGACGAACTATTGCCTTTTTTTTTTTTTTTCAAGTAGGCAAGCTGTCTTCCTGCAATCTTTTGCTTTATACCAGTGGTTCTCAAATTTTTTATCTCAGGATGCCTTTAACCAGAAAAAACCCATTACTGTGGAGTTGATTCCTACTTACGTTCCTAAAAATTATTGAGGACCCTGGTGGTATGGTGTTGAAGAGCTCAGCTGCTAACCAAAAGGTTGGCAGTTCAAATTCACCAGCCGCTCCTTGGAAACCCTATGGGGCAGTTCTGCTCTGTCCTATAGGGTCGCTATGAGTCAGAACTGACTTGATGGCACCTAACAACAACGAGAGCTAACCTTGGAAAATGCAAGAATACATGGCCTGTATTCCACTAGCTGTCAGAGCTATAATGTCATTACATGTCATGTTGCCTCTGGAAAACCGTGGAAAACCCGCTATATACTTAAGAGAGGATGAGAGTGAAAAAGGGAAAGAACATCTTAGAATTATAAAAATGGTTTGGCCTCACAGATACCCCCTCCACCCCAAAAGGTCTTGGGAGCTCCAGGGATCCTCAGACCACACTTTGAGAACCATTGCTCTGTATTGCTGTATTTTTTTTCTTTCGTTCATAAAGTGTTTATTATATCCTATGCCAGTCTCTTGAGTAGACACAGAAGACACAAAGTTAATAAAATCACACATGGAACATGAAATTATGGAGTTTATAGGCTAATATCAGGTATTAGTCAAATAATAAGCAAATATTATGAGTATAAAATTGGAACTCTTGGCAAGCAGTATGAATGAGAGCAAATCCAGTTTGGCTGAGTTTTACAAACAATAGTAGTTTAATTCCTAAATCAGTGGCCATGGTGGACATTGTCTGGTCACTTTCAGAATACATTTGCTGATTTTTATTTTTGAGTTTTTTCCCCCACCATCTCATCAGGCCACTGATTTTATCAACAGGTACTTAAGTACAGGTAAGAAATGTTATCATCTTGTGAACAATTCATTCTTCCTGTTAATTCTGGTCTCAGAAAGTAGGGGATGGGTTTAATCAGTAACCCTGGCACAGCATCATCATTGAGGCACATTGTACGCATCTTCTTGAGCACACTTATAATGCACCAGGTTAACAAATGCAAAGATAATAAATAAATATGAGAGTGTTGAGGTTAATCAGGAGGGTTTAATCAGACAAGCTTTCTAGAGACAATGAGTTTTTATCCAGTTAGTAAAAGTAGAAGAACGTTCTGAGGAAAAAAATAGCATATAAAGCAGTGACATAGTTGGAGAAGGGTGACTTAGAAGGATTATGATGAGTTTGAATTTGAATATGTCAGGTTTTAAATGTCCTAGATTAGTGGTGGGTCTCCTCCCTCACCCCAGCTTTTTTATTTCACAACCATTTACCACTTGCCATCGAATTGATTCTGACTCACAGCAACCCCACATGTGTCAGAGCAGAACTGTGTTCCACAGGCTTTTCAATGGCTGATTTTTTGGAAGTAGGTTGCCAGACCTTCCTCCCAAGGCACCTCTGAGTGGCCTCAAACGTGCAGTCTTGGTTAGCAGCCAAGCACGTTAGCTGTTTGCACCACTCAGGGAGTCCTTTTATTTCAGAGTTTATTTCTAAGTTTCCATCGCGTCATTATTGAATGTGTGCATTGTATTGAATTATCTTTGGAAGAGCCTCTTTTCCCACTATAGTTTAGATTCCACAAGGATGGGGACATATCCTTTTGTCATGAATCCCAAAGGCCTTACACAGTCTGTGATACTGAATATTGCTGTTGTTGGGTGCCATCGAGGCACTTCTGACTCATAGCGACCCCATGTAACAGAGTAGAACTGCTCCATAGAGTTTTCTAGGCAGAGATCTTTATGGAAGCAG